TGGTGCTAAGAAGATTGTGATCGAGCACTGGTAAACGAAAATGCATCTCTTATTTCTGCCTTTTTTTTAGGTTTCGGTGAGAAAAATTGGGGGAAAAATGTGGATAGAAGCGAAAAGTTAGGGTCTTTGTTTTTCTTCCGATATCGAAGCTAATCTTTGGTCTTGTTGTCACTGTGCGTTGAAAAATTTCGTGTTCTAGGGTTTTCGTCTCTTGTTGTTAGGGTTTCGTTAATCGCCTTTCTGATTCAATCAGTTCGCTATGGAGTAAATGTGGTTGTTCTAAAGAGGAATTGGTTATGTGCTTGGTCGTCTTTGCTTTAAGTTTCTCAGGATTACATGTTCCTTATGTAACTGAGAAACTTGCTTCTGGTTCTTACTGTGTCTTTTTCTTGAAAATTAGCCATTCCTCTAACTGCATTTGAATGTTGTTCTGTCTCGTTACCTCACTGAAGTTTGTTGTTGTTTTCTTGAAGCAAACAATGCCAATCGTTCAAGACGAGGGCGGGCGAGGTGAAGAAAGGCCTGGAGGAAGCTGTTCCTGGCATCAAAGTGACTGTGAATGCTGTTAAGATAGTAAATCTTTAACTGCATATGTATATATTCTTGTCATAAATGCTTGTTGTTCATCATTGCAGTTTTGCCCTTGCTTATTATTTCCTTTTTGATCTGCTTTAACAGCCAAGGCGCGGATGCTTCGAGATTCGAGAGGAAGGTGGTGAAACGTTTATCAGTCTTTTGGTAAGGCTTTCATTCTCATCCTTCAAAATAATATGTCAATTGATCACACTGTCTTGTTTGATGATATGATTTAGAATATGAAATTCAATTTTTAGATCCCTTCGCACCACAAATTGATGTCATTTGACTGAATCAATTGATCATAAATGAGGTTTTATGAGCATCATAAAATGTTTTGGTTGAGCCGACATTTTCATAAAATCATAACATTTTCATTCCGCAATGATAAATGATTGAGGTACATTAATCAGGGCATATCACCATGCCTCTCTCTATGGTCGAGTCTCATGTTCAGTTTATTTTCCTCGACTTGCTCTGTCTCAAACCATCTTAGAACCCAGTAAAACTAGCCACAAACCCGAGGAAAATGACAACACCAAAGCTTAAACTGGCGTTAGATGCAGAAGAAGGTGGTTCAGCCTCATCAGCTGCTGCCATTTTCTTCTTACCAGCATTTGATGGAGCAGGAGCAGGAGAATCTTCTGACGGTGCTGATGCTGGTGCGGTTTCTGGAGCCGCACCAGGAGGAGCGTCTGCATAATCATCTTCCTCAGCTGGTCCAGGAGCTGGAGTGGCTGCAGCCTTCTTGGGAGATGGAGCCGGTGGTGAAGTCATGGGTGGTGGTGGAGGAACCTTGACTGGAGACCCAAGTCCAGGAGCCACAATGGGCATGCTGATCTGGATCACAGAGAGGTTGTATGGGTTACGGAAAACGGTCGTGATGTATTCGGCGGTTTGAGGAGTGCCTTTCACACCAGACCCAAAGTAAATCTTTCCGTTAGCTTTGGTGCAGTTGAGGAAACCGTTTTGCTGTTGGCCCAAACCAGTTGACTGGTAAAGAGTAGTGAGCAATGTGCTCCTGTCCTTGAGACCCTTGAGCTTGAGCTCATCAAAGTAGTCAAGAACCACATGGTTCATAAGAATGTTCTTGAGCTCCTCCTCGGGTCTACCAGAGATTGAGGCGATTGCATCGTTGCTAAGAGCCAGCACGGTGATGGTCTGACGTTTGTTGATAATTGGTGTAAGCTCGGTCTTGGTTAAAAGCTCGGTCATGGTGCTGAATTCAGGGTATTTCTCGAGTGCTCGGGTTATGTTAACCGCTGATACAATGGAGGAGACACCGAGTAAGATGGTGAGACAGAGGATGGTAGAGGAGGTCTTGAGACCCATTTTTGGGTGTTTTTATTTATTTATTACCCTTAAATTTTTCTATATTAAAAGCTAAACCTCAAAGACTGGGTTTGCAATACGAGGATTTGGTTGGGTATATATACAGACCTTGAGAAGAGCTCGAGACTAATGGTGGAGAGACATTTTCTCAGATTTTAAGTTTGGGCTAAATTTGAACTTGTCTTTATTGTTACCTCTATATTTGGCTCCAAACTGTTTTGTTTTTCACCTTTGGTTTTAGGGTTTGCGATATTAAGATTTGTGTTTTTTCCAAAGATTGATTGAGATGTTGCAACATAAAATATGTGGCATACAGTGTCAACGTAGCAAGTCCATCCTACTTTTTATGGATAATTTTCTAAATTTAACACATTTTTGGCTTTTTCCATATATATTTCTAAATAGAAATTCACAATCTTTACTGTTTAAAAGTAAAGTCACAATTCTATATAG